CTTAGCATTAGTTACAACAAATAGCTGTGAAGGAGAGGAGAAAAAAAATGTTATTGCTTGGATACGGCTTTCACTTGACTATATTGTAGTTTTTGGCACATTTACATTTCAAGTCAGACGCTACTAAACACTATGTCACAAAATAATATATATATATCTCACAAAATAAAATTGGGGGAAAAAAAGAGAATTGAACGGAAATAGCCGAAACATCAGATATATGATGCAAATGAAGTAGGATGTAACCACTCTAATTAGACACCTGCAGTATGGACAACATGCTCTACAGTTGCCTTACAGCTGATTGCACTTCAGCTGTTTTTAATAAGTACCTGTTCGCAACTGATGTTTTCAGCACACCTGACTTCAATGAAGCACTAATTAGGAGCCTAATTAAGAGCTGGCCAAATTAAAATGGTTCTTAAACACAAAGAACAATAAAACACTCGGCAGTCATCGGAAGGCAAATGTCAGTTGATGACAGAGAAAAGGCAAATGAACATTACTCTGAGGGATGAAAGAATAGAAATGTAAAGTCTCATTGAGCACTTTGGCTTGAAAAAGAAACTTGGACGAAATCTGACTTATTAGGCCATACTATTATTTTATTCCTTAATTAAAACATTATTTATCATCTGGAAAAAATAATATGTACATGCCTTTTTAACCTTAATGTTCTGTTGACCGCTCTAACACACTTGACATTGCTTTATCACCGTGATGCTAAATGACCTTTATTCACTTTATGAGAATTGCTTATAAAGATGATTTTGAACTGATGTCTCTGAGGTCCTATACAGAAAACAAATCATTACTTCTGGTTGGGTCTCGCAGATTCCAGTTGTAAAACGTTGTTAAATGTAATGGATACTCTCTCTGCGATTGGTGTTACTTTTTACACAGCACTGCCCCTTCCAAAATCATGTGTATTTGAATTTCTCTTATCTAAGTTTTGTCTAACAGGGAGTTGTCCTCTGGAGTCTAGTTAACCCAAAACATAATTAACATCCCTACACTGTAAGAAAAGATACACCATATCTACTCAATAAAAATGAGGCAACAGATTACAAGTAATATTATTAATTAAATTTCAATGTAATATTTCAATTTAATGTTTGGTATTGTGTAAATATTCATTAAATGAGACCCTTAATAGTTATCCATTTAATATGATTAGATTCAAATAGAAAACAGTACAGAATTAATTACAACCTAAACAAAAATATTGATTTGATTTGAAAAACTCCCTAATGTGTAAATAGCACTAATAAATATCGATTTAGTTATATATATCAATGATATATAATTGAGTATTAATCATCTACACATAAGGAAGATATCATGGGTGCATGGGGGTAGCCGGCCCAGACCACCGGCTAGGTAGGGGACCCCCACATGGCCGCAAATGCATTGTCATTTGCTTGAGACAATTGACAATTGAATTGCTCTTGAGAAGTTGGTCAATGTTCAGTGCAGCCAAACTTATCAAATAAAACAGGCACTTCACCCCTGGTTTCAATAGTAAACCATAGACTGTATATTAAAAAAAACACCACAAGAAAGACACTCACCAACCAAAAACACTGTATTCTAAACAGACACGTTTAAAAAAACACAATTCAGAAAGTACATTTTGTATTTCAAACAAATAGGAGACTTATTAGCTTATTTTAACAAAACTCCCTTCACTGCCACGCATCATGGGAATTCTTGACAGGAAGTGCTTTTCAATTAAAATTTGCCTGATTACATTAATTTGAATTCACTCAATATTCTCTCTATTTGGGATTAGATAAATATAATGCTTATGATTTATTTAACTACAATGGGTGAATTTTATTCCAAACGTTTTTATTTGAAATTTAATTAAATATTTGCCTCAAAATCAAAAACACAATCATATTGACTATTACCTAATACATTAATTCAAATCTACATGACCACAGAATCCTTTTTAACAGTGTATTTAGGTTGTACTGTACATTTATTTGTTAGTGAATTTCTTTTTGGCAAATAAAAGAAGGAATATTTGTTCATGCATCCCATATAACTTAAAAAATCTTGAAATGTTACCTTATTTGGTGTGATAACAATGCTGTTCATTTTCATATTTTGTCACCTTCATCAAATATGCAAGCTTGTATTTGTTTGCTGGTGGCAAAGGGAAGTGTTGTCAGCTGAACACAAGATTTCACATAGTTTGATTGTTTCATTAGAAAAATAGTAGAGCGGATAAAAAACAACATTTCTGACACATTATTTAGCTCATTTAAAATCTGCTCTTCATTCTTTTGGAGAAAGGAAAATGTTCAGGGCCGAGCTTGTGCGAGGGCCGGGTGCACCTTATTGATTTTGAGGGTAAAATCGATACATTTCATCATCTTGATTGGATTAACTGTTTCAAGTTCAACTTTTAATTGGATTTCTACTTTCTACCATGTGAGCTTATTTGAAAATCAATAGGCCAATCAATACCTCCATGTTCAGGAAGTCCTGTTAAAAATGGAGGAACGTAACAGACACCTGCCACTGGCAACCCCACCCACATGACTCGCTGAGGTCTAAAAAATCCAATCATGTCTTTATTAATAGTGGGGAAAAATACAATAATACTTTCTTGCTATGTTAAAGTGGAATCAGTGAGTCAGTGAGAAATTTAAATTGTATTTAAAAAGCTGACTGGTTTGTATTATGTGCCATTTTATGGATACAGAAAATTGATCATTTCCTGAATGATAATAAACACCAATCACAACAGCTACAAAGTGTTGCTTATCAAATATGTGGGATCTTTGCTGAAACTTTAAATCAAAAAACGTCAGCTAAATAAAGCATAACTGATGTTGGGGATGACCCTAATTACAAAATGATGTAGGCTATTTGGCCCATATGGATAGAAATCTAAAAATGATCATGTTACCCAAAATTAGTGATCCGATAAATTCTAGATCTTCCATCTCGTGGACTTAATCCAATTGTCTAGGCTTGGCAAAATGGCAGCAGAACACACCAAGCCACTAACTCCAATCCTAGACAGGTAAACAGCCTTGTATCTGAGAGATAACTGTTCCAAGCATAGTTTTTGTTTATCAAGCTTGTGGCTAATTATTTCTTTTGTTCAGCCAGATGTCATAGACTTTAAAAGTAGCAGGTGGTCACTTATTTAATTAGTCCAGTTGACCAACCAGTACCAGAGATTAAGAGCAAATTTAACCCGGGCTGCCGCAGCCTGCTAGTAACTAGACCACATAAAATTTCACCCTAGGCTCAACTTACTGATGTTTTATTATATTGTATTACAAAAACTGGTTTGGATATTAGTTTTAAAAAACAACAACAGAAATAAAATTTATTCCAGGACGATATTGGTGTATGTTTTTTGAATCTATCAGTACAAATTTACTATCTTCATAGATATTGTAAAGCATCTCCATTAAGATGAAGCATCTGCCATAATAAGAGAGATGGTATAAAAACATTAGGTTATTCATGGACAGATATGTTTTGGAATATTTAAGCCTGATTGTGTATTTTACCAGAGCTTAAAGTGTAGTCGGGCGTCATGTGGTGCCCTTTATGGAATTTACAGGGTCCCTGGAAAGAGAAAATTTATTTTAATTTAACAGATAGTGTAATTTATTATCCTAATTAAAGAATGGTTACATAAATTGTGTTTTTACTCTTGCCAATATTATGCGCTTATTCTGACAGCCTGTGACAAGAAAACATTTAAGAGCCCTATTGACAAACTATATGGATTTACCTATTAGCATTTAAACATTGGTTTATCTATATGTCTTACACTCATAGGCTACACAATTAATATCTCAAAATATCTGCTCACCCAGTTGTCGTTCAGCTAATTCGTTCGACAACCCTCATCTTGGATGACCTTGTTGGGGCTGTGGACAAATCACGGTTTTGGTTGGTTAAGGCCAAGTCGATTGAGGTTGCAGAGTACAAGACAATAAAGTGTGTGTGTGTGTGTGTGTGTGTGTGTGTGTGTGTGTGTGTGTGTGTGTGTGTGTATGGGCGTGTGTTCAGTGTATGTTTAAAACATGTAACCATTTTAGACAACACTCGTAGCTTATGTTCACGGACCATGCACACATTACGCACGCCTCACTGTTCAGGACAATGGCCATTTGATTGGAGACTACTGAACGGCTGCATGGCCTCTTATACTGAGAGAAACACATAGCAGCTGACCCAGGCAGAATTTTATTTATCCCGATATCACAAGTCTGACTTTGATGCTGCAGTCTAAAACTGGCTGAAAATCAGAATAAGAACTTTTGTATTTTTGTTTAAAGTGTATATCATCTTGTCCAAGGCAGAAAACAACTCTGTGGTGTAGTTATATGTACCAAGTACATTCAAATGCTACTAGTTTAAGGTGATCATTAAACAGCTAATACTGTAGGTATTCTTTAAAAGTACTGGGTGTGTTCAACAGGTCACAATGATCACTCTTATCATGTTTGACTGTGGGCCTCCGTGTCATCGCATTACACATTTTACGTCCGATTACACCACTTAATAGACATAGGGATGCAATTTGTCTGCAGTCTTTGAATATGCTCCAGCTACTTCTATTTAGACAAAGTAATGTCCTTCTCACCCAATGTAGACATATATGTAGTTTCCAAGACATAAAAGAGCCTATTTGCTCATTTGGACAGGTAAAGATATGAAGCAGGCTTGAAACTGACAAAATGTAGAAGTAATTTTTGTCAAAAGACCTATTTCCTTGATGAAGAAAATTAAGAGACATGCATGTGAAATTGGAGAAAATGTTATGAACCATGTCGTCTTCCAAGAGGCGTTAGCTTAACTAGCTGTCTACGTTACCGTTACCTAAATGCTGTGTCTGATAATGCTGACATTATATACTATACTAAATCTTTCACTAATACCCATGATAGTAAAATACAAGCTTCAGCTGTACTGCCAAAATTTCGCTTGCTAACAGCAAGTTGAAAAAGGAAAACAGAATCAGCTCAAATCCAGAATCTAATTTATTAGAAGATGATACCTATATGATATTTTATATAATCACAATTAATCCAGTTTTCTAACACTACTGATTGACAATCATAGGCTTTTTCACCAATATATATATGGTGTATTGATTTATATTACAAAACGTCACTGTTCTAGTGTTTGAGGTCTGAATTAAACAAAGTAAAGCTTGAAAACACATTCCAAAATCAGCAAATGCAATGTGAACAAAACTGAACAGACCCAAAATGAGAGCTCTGGGGCCACCAGATAACGGCTGTGAAGGCAAGTGAGTGAGCAGGGCCTGAAATACTCACACCTCCAGTCTACTGCAGATCTCAATTCAAATCAAATGAACCAAGCCTTTCTGTTATCCTGTTCCTAATAACATGAGTTGTTGAGGCTGACATGTAATCATGAAAATAAAGTGTAAAACAATACACAGCAGCTACAGTAGTGTTAATCTTGGCTGAGGTTACTGAAGTATTGACAAATGTTAAAATCAGGTAATCACTGGTTTGTGAGTAATGAGTGAAACTCACCCACCCAGTTTATATACTTCACAATACATTTCAGATTTTCACTACTGTTGTAACAATAAAGATTTACGGATACACAATGCTTATTGCTTTCAAAAAAATGAAATCACACACATTTGCCAACCCACTATACCACCGCCCAAAAAATAAAAAATGTATAAAAAATAATTCACACAAACATCCAAGAACCTGAATCTGAGTTATAAAAACCACTGAGCAAAATTACCAACACACACCCGTGCAAATGTGATCAATCGGATTAAACATAAAACAAAGGATTCGCATCACAAAAAATGTCACATTAAGACTTTCTTTCAAGAGTACCATTGATGCATTAAAAGAGACTGTGTGCTAATGTGAAAATCAGTGCATAATATTGAACCGCTACCTTCAGAAATTTGGTGAAACATGCATTTACTGAATGCTTGCCATCTATTGCAACATTTCCCCAGGTCTTTGGCTTTTATGGAAACTAATGTGATGATGATGTACCATGAGAGTCAAAAGAAGACCTAGAAAGGCACTTAAAACTACTTGGATATTGTAATATTTCCCACAAATGGCAAGCTTTTTTTTATGTACAAGTTTAGCTATGGGATTGCCAAGTATTTTAGACAACGACAACGCCGCTATGTTAGCATTATTATGCACTGAATCATCTTCTCCTTAAGTATCCCATTAAAGTATTCAATAAAATCTCTCAACAGTACCATAGGGTTATAAATAAATTGTCAGTGTTATAGCAGGTGTTATCTAGCTGTATGTCACCACGCATAGACTAATCTGCTAGTTTTTGTATAAAGATATGCATTCATAAAGCCACTTGTTTAGACACATTCACCACCTCATTATAACAGCTGCAGCACTAAACTGATAGCATAAATCCCAAATTATATTGTCAGGAGTACAAACATGAAAGATGTGTTCAAAAGTCATGCATTGTTAAGTGCGATGGTTGATAGAGCAGACTTAAGATAAACAGATTGATTTAAAGGAACAGTTTGATATTTGGGCAATACACTTATTGTATTTCTTGCCAAAGAGTTAGATGAGAGGCTCAATACTGCTTTCACATTTGTATGGTAAATATAAAGCTACAGTCAGCAGGCAGTTAGCTTAGCTTAGCATAAAGACAGGAACCAGGAGGCGGTAGCAATCCTGGATCTGTCTAAAAGTATAAAAAGACACGTTGTGGATTTACAGGGGTTTTACGTATTTATGCTAAGCTAAGCTAACCACCTGCTGGCTGTAACTTCATATTTAGCGCACAGATACGAGAGTGTCATTGTTCTTCTCATCTCATTCTCGGCAAGAAAGCGAGGAAAAAGTGTACTGTAATGTCAAACTATTCTTTTAAGATGAACAGTGATTTAAGTTGTCTTTGAGGATAGCATGTGACACTCAAGCACCTTCAATAAAGATTTCACAACAGGTTATAATCAGGTCATGATATTAATTGATTGTGGAATGTTTTGTTATACTCAGAGAAACAACTTGATTATACAGCAGGTTTGAGTCTCTACGACATATACAGCCTAAGATTTATAGTATAAACTTGTTTCTAACTTTGGACTCTTACCATGGCATAGTGAAGTGTTAACTGTCGTCTCGCTATTACACATCTTTATACCAGGCTGGTCATTTGTCATAAAAGTATCACTTATCACTTCATAGATAAAACGTTCATGGAACAATGCAAGAAAACATTCATGAATTATCAAACGATCACGAATTAAAGGATTGCAGTGGATGCCAGATCCCTTCGCTATTCACAAGGAATTTCCATACTAGAAGATCACCAACCATAAAATATAAAACAAAAACACTGCTCATGCATGACAAATAAAAAGGACGTAGTTAAAATAAACAAGGCACACCCTTTATACAAAAAAATGCCTTTCTAATATACACACTGGAGTTACCCTAGTTCTGTCTGTAGTTGATTAAAAGGTCAGTAGTAAAGGCTCTTTATTAAAGTAACCTGAGAGGGGTCCCTTTCGCCAGCTTCTTTCAGGTGAAGACTTCCACCCTTATGATGCAAGTAGCCATTAAAAGTTGTCACCAATTGCTGAAAGTAGCAGTGACAGTGAGCAAAAGAAGTGTTTCCCGTCACTCCCTTAGGTGTTTCTTGACCCTGTTCACTGCCAGTCCAGGCATTGTAAAGAAAAAGAAAAAGAAAAAAAGCTTCAAGTATCCACTGACCAACCAAGACTGCTGCCCAGCTCCCATAGCACAAAAGAGGACGGTGAAGGCGAGCAGATGGATTCTTAGCATGGCAGCCCCTACTATCTGTGCAGGTAGGGGGTATTGTAGTGCTACTGGCCTACACGTGGGTGCGGAAGTGGTGGGTGGCTTGGAGCGGCTGCCTGCTTCGGAGCGGGTTGAGCCACAGTAGTTTCCAGCGAGTGCCGCAAACTTCAGCTAGTGCCCACTGCCAGGACCTCTTTGAGCCATATCTGAAAAGAAGAATAAAAAGCAAATAATTCATGTTAAAACCGGTATTATGAGGCCGCTTTTAAAAGGAAACCTTTTGGGAAACATTCTTCTTCGCACTCTTGCCAAGCTGAAAAGAATAAAGCCACTTTCATATCTAAATATGAACCGGGAGCTAGCAGTCAGTTAGCTTAGCTTAGCGTAATGACTAAAAACAGGGGGAAACAGCTAGCCCTGCTTTAAACGGAGATAACAAAATCCGCCTGCAAGCACCTCTAAAAGCTCTGGGTTGGAGTCTCTGTTGGTTGCCTGACAACCTCAAAATAGCGACATAACAACGGCAGCACACTTCCGAGAGTTAAGTAGTCAAATTGTAGTCAAGTTATTATTAAGTTTTTGTGAGATTTGGAGTCGCTGGTACATGTATTTTGTTACCTTTGGATAGAATCAGCTAAGTGGCTGCTGGCTCCAGCTCCACATTGAATGGACAGACATTAGAGCAGTTTCGATCTTCTGTGCTAACTCTTGACAAGAAAGCGAATATGTTTATTTGATGCTGAGCTACTCCTTTAAAATGATCTTAACCGGCAGCAGAAAGCAAACAAGAGAAATTACCGTAATGTCAGCCTATTTCTTTAATGCAGCTGCAAACCACTTGTGGCATTAGGGCAGACAAGAGTTAAACACACTCACATTTCATTGGAGAAGGGAGCCATTTTCTCAATGGTGGTAGTGTCCTGTAAGAGGGATAAAAGGAAAAGGACAATGCAAAATGAGTGGATCATTTCACAAAATAAGCTCTCTCATGATTATTCGGAACCCTGTTTAAAGTACCACACAACCAGCCAAAAACATCAGCATCATTAATCTTTTATCTATTGCTCCAGTAGACAGCTCCATCAATAGAAAACCTTTCTCTAAATAACATCTTGCTATTTCCCACCTCATCATTGAGGCTAAGTATAGACGTTTCTAACATTACAGCTCTGCCGAAACTCTTGATGAAAGCTTGTAAATGACTTGCGATAAAAACTATTTTGTTATGTCACCTAAGATATTAAGAATGCCATTCTTAATATCTTGTAGGCAAAATATGTCATTGATTGGATGGACAAACACTTTGATGCACACACGCACACACATAGCCTGACCCCAGGCTTTCTCTCTAGTTTCTTTTCTATTGATCACTGCATTACTGGCATTGACTGTTTTATTTTTGTGTACTAAGTCATGTCGTTCTGCAAGCTTCGTGTGCTGCTGCCGCCTCGTTTGCTAGGTCACCCTTGAAAAGACAGAACTTGCTTTCAGCAGGACAAACTAGCTGATACTGGAAATAAGCACCATCATGCACATTTTGCAGATCCTGCAAAGTGACACTAAACAGTTTCATGAGATTGGAAATATTTGCAACACTAGGATACGACATAATCACTTTCACATAATTACAGCAGCAAATGTCATTTGAAACAAGACAATAAGTCTTCAAAGTCATTACACAGTACTTACAGAGAGGATGCCCGTCATCTGAGTGTAAAACAAGCTAGTCATGCCGCCAAACATGACCAAACCCATGAGCGTTGAGACTCTCAGGAGAGCCAGTTCATGGCGTGTTGTAAACTTCTCCTGCCAAAGGAAAACAGAACAGCAACCCTTTGGTGTCAAATCCTTTTATCTCATAATCTTAAAGCTCAAATGTGATTGCTTTTTCATTGTAAAATATTAACTTTTATATTTTTCCAGTGTTGCAGCAGACTCTTACAGGATGTAACAAAGCTGTTTGTGCCAGATAGTCACGTAATGCGTTCAGATAACTGAATAAATACATTTATTGTCCATAGTGACTTACAATTGCAATATATGTCAGAGGTCACATGACTCTGGAGCAACTAGGGGTTAAGTGTCTTGCTCAGGGACACATTGGTGCCTCACAATGGATTTGAACCTGGGTCTCTCACACCAAAGGCATGTGTCTTATTCACTGTACCATCACCACCAACACAGTGGATAGTTGCAGTCCAAACTGCTGCACATGCTCTAAAGATATTTTACTGTCAACTGAGAATATTGTATACTTATATTCCTGTAGAACGTACCTGGTCTAGTCCTGTCAGCGGCTGGAAGTAATAGTACTGGCAGAAGTCCAGCACCAGGGTAAACAAACTGAGGACCTGAGCGTAGAAACAGAGCTGCAGGAAGAGCCAGTGGTTGTCTTCTCCCACACAGTTATTGATCCTGGAAGGATCATGAAATACATGAAAAAAATAAGTTTTCCCATTTCCCATTCTAAAGCCTGGAAAGTGTAAATTTGTATTTATACAAGATATCAAGATATCTGACACACAATATTACATGATCAGCTATACATACTGTACCGAGGCAATTTAACACATCACATGAACACAGATGTTGACTGAATGTTGTTATTGTTCTATAGGGTTTCTATATAAAGTACATTCATTAGTGTGTGTGTGTGTGTGTGTGTGTGTGTGCGTGCGTATGTGTCCTTACCAAGGACAGTGGTGGTCCATTCTGCGTACACAATGGCCACAACGACTGCAGTGGTGCGACCTCTTAGGTCTCATTAAGTTGCACTTACTGCACAACTCCCAGTGCTCTCGCTCTGTGAGAAAAAAAAACAATAAGCAGTTTATTATTGGTTACTACTGGTAGTACAGGTATTGGTAGCTGACACAGAGACACAGTAAAAACATTCAAACCTATTTACTTTGGTCTAAAGACATAATGACAAGTATTGACTATTACCTGCAATGAATGTGCTCCAATAGGGAATGAATTTACTATATTGATTATGTTCAGTTATTTATAGGTATAAAGATCTGTGGATAAATACTTTAACATGCATAGTCTGACACACATACAACAATCTTAGCATTAGAAGAAGTGGTAAATAAGTCAGAATAGTGAGGTGGGTTTTCTGTACCCATACCAGAGTGAGGTATGTGGGGGTCCACAGGAAGACGGCCAGGATCTGCTGTGGAAGCTCTGATTAGGGCCGCTATGCACAGTGCTGATGCGATGTAATAACCTGAAGGAATACACAATGTTTAATCCCACTCAAAGCCCCACACTAGGGGCCCAGTCAGAAATTACACTTATTTCCCGGGGTCCCTCCCGAAACGGATGAGAAATTCACGCAACTATTGATCAACAGATATTTTCCTAGATTGATTCAAAGGCTACTCACAAACAACAATCGCCCAGGGGATGTGTCCCTCATTGTAGTGCGGAAGTAGAACCAGTTTGGGAATAAAGAAAGTGTTGTAGAGCCAGATCCCAAACACCACACTGATACACAGCCAGCCCATGGGGTCTACCACAAAGTGCAGTCGAAACTTCATGGCTGCCGGCGCTCCTGGGAAAACCAAGCACACAGAAATGCAGATGCAAATCTCCAATTGACTAACAGGAATGGGCTGACTCTGGCACAGGACTAACACACTTGACAAACACGTTTTACTGGGGTTGTTATATTATTTATTTGTGTGAACCTCTCGTTGCATCATCAGTTACTATTTATTGCATTTATTCAAGCTGGGACATTTTGCCTAAAATACCAAGAGCAAAATAGTATGATAGGGAGACATCTGACATGTATCTAGGAGGGCATTATTAGGTAATCTTTTCTGAAATTGGTCAAGAGATGAAACCTCAACACAGGCCTGTACTACTGTGCTATAAAGCAGGTGTCTATAAACAAGCCAAACCATGACTACCTTACAACGCCATACACAGACGTTTAACACAAGCATTATCTGCTAATCTCACACAGAGTTAACAGCCCTCATAAACCCGCCAGCCTGCACAGAAATAAAACGTTGTTATTGCAAAACCTCGCCTCCTCCATCATTTGATAACAACACTGACCGATACTGCCGCGACAGGCTCGGCTTCAACATCAGCGGGCTGACGTTTTTTAATTCACTCGCGTTCACATACAAACTACACAATTCAACGTGTTTAGCGTCAGACATGATTTCCTACGCAAAAATGTAAAGATACATACTTCTTTTTCACCGCTGTCCTATTCGCCACACGTATCAGTGTGTAGCCACTTCCTCATTCAAGCCTCTGTGGGTTGGACAGCAGCAGCGCTTTGTGTGTTACCTGCAATAAGGAACACATTTCCGGTTGACCCATGATTAAAAATAAAACACTTTGTGATGGGACTATTTTCTAGTGATGCAAAAACACACCTTTAATAATAAGAAGTCGCTATCTGAAAGGGGCCTGTTTAGTACATTTGATTTGTGGGTAATTTATATTATATATTTTATTTAAAAGCTATTAAAACCCTTACATTTATTCATTAGCTGACACTTTTATCCAAAGTCACTTACAATTGCTAAGTAAGTCAGAGGTCGCTCGCCTCATCCACTGCTCCATCACCAGCCCTTATATTAAACAACAAGTATGATAATCGATTAATCTTTCAAACAATCACAATTCACTGCTTTCAGCTTCTCACCACCCATCGTGGGAAACTGATCAACTATAGCTTAACTAAATAGTTACATATAGACTCAGAGAACGCAGCCTGGCTGTAGAAAAGGGTCGCCACAGACAGAGCTGGCTACCAGAAGAGGAGAGACTCTGCTCCGAGTGAGACAAAGAACAGGGAGAGACAGAGCGGCACTTTCTAAACTCATGACCTAAATATAAAACTTCACACGAAGAACATTTCCCAAACACATCCTGAATTCCAATATATATCAGACTTAGAAAAACGTCCCTACTTTCTGGGAGAAATGCCCAAATGCCAAATAAATAATCTCCTAATGTCATGAACTGAGAGCAACCAGTAGAAACTCAGACTAATATAGAATATAAATAATTGTTGTTATTTGTATAAAATGACTGTGATATTACCACATTATTATTATAGATATTATTGATATATTTAGTTTTTAGTTGATGCAATGTAATAATCTGTCCGATTGCTTCAGATATCCAAATTCTTTAGAGACGAATTGAACTCTTTTGATGGGAGCTGATGAGTACTGTTTGCAACTCTGATTTCAGAGAACTTTACTTTTTCCCAACAGCAACGTGTAGGTCTTTACTTGAACGACAACATGCCAGTTTCCTGCTGTATCGTGGTGGTGTGTGCGTTAGCTTTATGCTTCTGTAGTACACAGGTGGGTGGTGGGCTGGAGCGCAGTGCACCAGTGAGTTTGGGAATCCTATGAAGGCGAAGCCATGACCCGCCCTAATCTGCCACTGATTGGCTTAGCCTGACGATGACGTTTCTTACGTAGCCCTTGCTAAAAGAAGAGGAAGTTTTTTTTCCTTCATGATTTTGGATGGAAAAATCGCAATTATTATCTGAAAAAGTCTGTTTTCATGAATGATTACAGTAAAGGTGGCCTTAGTATTCTACACTTTACTACTTTACTTTCAAGATTAATTGGATTAACCGGTAGCCTACTTAAAGTGCCAAACTACTCTGTAGAATTTTATTCCCCATTGTGTGTTCACTTCAGTTCGTTGTCTCCAGTTTTTGTTGGTATTCTGTTGGTATAAAATTCTCTTAAACATTTTTCAATTCCTTAACAAATGCTACTGGCTTGGTCCTTAATTTAAAAGCATAACTTCACTCCTCACAGGTTTTATATTTGGGTTAGAACATTTTGCTTGTAAATCAATTATTCAACCAATGTGGTCAACTCTATAAGTACATTGAATTTATTCATTACTATGGTATCCCTATTTCACCAAAGGACTTCTCTATCGTCTTCGATGCGATACCTTCAGCTGTCATCTCACTTAAAGGTTAAAGGTTTTAATGGATTTGATGATCCCCCTGCACTGGTGGATGTGAAGGAAACAACTTTTGGGAATATCTGTTTTTTTCGCTGCAAACTAAAAGTAAGAATAAGGCAATTCGTCAACTTTTTCAACAGGACATTAGGAGGACACCTGCTGCTTTATCATATTGGTCCTCATTTGTTGGGAAAAAGTTTGGCTTTTGCCGCACAAGTTTTTTTTAGCCAACAAAGTTAAGGAGATCATTTTAAATACTTCACAGGTTTTACTCCACTAACTATTACATGCAAAAACTGAAAAAGCACATTGATATCAGCTGTACTTTCTGTGGAGAACTAAACGAAACACTGTTGTATTTATTTTGGTCTTGCCCACAAAGTGTCACAGTTTATGGTTGTCCATATTTACCCTAAATTTGCATTGCAGTGGGAAAATGTATTGTTTGGATTTACTAAAAATGACAAAAATTTATTTTCAGAGTATTATGTGAGTCAAAATTCTTTAAAAAAGAAGGAGAATTTTCTGGACCTTGCTGCTAACATTAAGCAATATGTTCTTTCAATATGTGAGTGTACAAACGAAAAAGCTGTTAAATCATACACTGTAAAAAAGGATTCTGTGGTCATGTAGATTTGAATTAATGTTTTCGGTAGAATATATTCAATATGATTGTGTTTTTGATTTTGAGGCAAATATTAAATTAAATTTCAAATAAAAATGTTTGGAATAAAATCCACCCATTGTAGTTAAATATAATGTAAGCATTATATGCATCAAATCCCAAATACAGAGAATATTGAGTAAATTCAAATTAATGTTATCAGGCACATTTTAATTGAAAAGCACTTCCTGTCAAAGTGCCGCTTTTTTAAATGGAGCACATTATCATCCACAAGACATTTGAATCTTGCAAAATTTAACTGGTTGACTAACAAGAAAACTTATTTTTTTTATCATTGGACTAGTAATAAGAACTTACAACATGTATAGCAAGCTTCATCATGGTGCCCACCTGCTACAAAGTCATTTATAGAAAGTCCACTGCTGCACAAGCTGATCGCAGCCACTCTAGCCAATGCTTGTGCTCACACCAGGGGCGAGTTCAGCGCCTACAAAACGTAGCAAAATGTTTTGAGATTGAACTCGCGCAGACGCGTCTCTCTGCTCCTCTCCAGAGAGAACCCGCAGCCATTTTCAAAATAAAATACCCTGCAGACCCCCCATCTTATACCAACAATAAACACAGTTTAAACAGACAGAGAAGAAACAATTTAACTACGAAGCCTAGGCCTACTTAATCATAGTAGAAGGTCAAAAAGCAAACACTTAACACTAAATCAACAAAATCTAAACATTTACACATAAGGGAGTTTGCCTTTTTCAAATCAACTAAATATTTTTGTTTTGGTTATAATTCATTCTGTACTGTTTTCTATTCGAGTCTACTCATATTAAATGGATAACTATTAAGGGTCTCATTTAATTAACATTTAATCAACACCAAACATTGTGAAATTGAATTAATAATATTAGCCAAAGACAGCAGAACAGCAAAAATGTCCTGTTCTTGAACGTCATTGTCCTGCTAAGCCAATCTGAGGCACATTAGGACCACGAGCAGGGGTGTGTGTTATAACTCACCTGTTTAAATTATATTAAGCCATAAAGTTCTGCATTATTAGGGGCGTGGCCGCTTTGATTGACAGGTGTCTCTGGCCGTTGTCACGACTAGCAGTGTTTGCTTTCACTCAGCCACAACACACGGAGCTCTGAGGCTCAGCCTGTTGGAGCCGGACATTTCTACACGCAGATACCGGATGAATAATGGCAGACTCTGAGGTTTATTGGAGAGAGAACCTCCAGGAAGTCCGTATTCCAGTTGGTGAGTGAAATTCTTGTATTTTATTATGTGTTAACAATATTTAACAGGTATCGCTATCGGCATATAACTTGTTAGCTTAGCTGTTTACGCTAATTGGCCCGATACGAGCAGCCCCAAGCTGCTAACGACGCTAAGTTAAGGGGAGTTAATTGTTAGTGTGTTCTAACCGCAGCTTTTAAGGAGTCAAAGACAAGTCAGCAAGAAGAGAGTAGCCAAAATGTATTAGATTAACCTTAGTGTTAGACATTAGGGTTAAAATGCTTTCATATGTCTCTGGCTCAGCTCTGTGAGCTGACTTGATGTTAACAGTAAACTTTACAAACGGGCAATGTTAGATTTGGATTTGGCTTCGTACTGTAACTAGTCAGATAAGGTTACTTATAAGTGGCTGCACCTGATCCCGATGGACACGAAGGGTTTAAAATTGGAGGAGCGGCAGCAGAGTTCTGCCTGACCGTCGAGGAGAGTCGTGCACCTCCGAGTGTACTGATTAAAAACGATAACGTTATACTATTCTTTGTGGGGATGATTGATGATCGAAGTACATATTGAAGGACGTTTAGAGTCATCAATAAGTTATTACACTTAGTATATGTGGCATTCCTTGTGATTTAGCAAACAATATGAGGTGATAACTGCGTTTGATCAGCGACGTTTCTGATAAGGAGCTTAAGAGGTGGATGCATAATTCGGCTGAACAGCTGTTGTAGCCCAGCAAGCACATTCACGGTTAAAAGACGCCAAATAGACGTCCAAACAGAGCAGAGACGTCTAGGCTAAAACAGGGCTGAATTTGGGCTGTCGGTGAAAGTTTCGTAGACGTCTAACCATAACCCAAAAGTAGTCTAGTCATCAATCAGACCACCATTGAACAGCTACATATAGACTTGTATTAGATGGTGAAAATGCGTCTAGGCTAAAACAAGGTTGAATTTGGGATGTCAGTGAAAACTTAATAGACGTCTAATCATAACCCAAGAATAGACCAAATATACAGCTTTTGAATGACTACATATCTACCTCTAATAGACAACAGAATAGTGGCTAAAGGTTTGTTTTTACTCAAACATAACAGGTTCTCATGAATGGTAATCTGTTCAAACAAATTAAATATAAAGATTTTATTAAGAAAAAGGATTACAACGTAGACAACTGATGAAAATGTAAAGGAATTATTGATAAAATATTATTATAAATACAAGACAGTTTATATGAAAATACAAACAATTTTAACAACATGCAGTAATAAAAACATAAATAATGGCAAAATAAAGTGGCTGGCTGCATCCAAAACTAGATCTTCATCTAAGCTGCTACTTGATGTAGCAAGAGCATCAGATGGGTCTCCTGGTTGGCACCAGTCTCTCGGGTAAATGGGATCCATAACTGTTGAATATGTAAGAATATGAACTTAAGTAAAAATTACAAGTGACTACATT